AAATGCTAAGCATGAGAACGCTGCTGGCTTTAGGCGAGAGAGCCGCTCAAGGGTTGCGAGAAACTTTTGTGCCACAAGTCGAGGACGGAGTAACGGACGGAGAAAAGCACGATACGGAAGGTTATATTCGAACAAAGATGCCTTAGTTTAAGATACAAGATTTCTTAATCAATACTAGCATCTACTCACTTTCTTGAAATACTAACTGCCCCATATCCTTGATGATGGAGCATGCAATGTCTTGGACGCAATGTTGTGGCTTAAGTCTTGGATTAAATCAACGCTTGACACTTATTCGGTGAAGCCTGTGATCATAATCGGCGTGTACCTTATCAGCCAAAATATAGGTAGTACAACCTACTGAAATCCCCGGTACTCTGAATATCTTGACTGTGCTGCTACTCTTGAAGCAAATGGTCACTGCAGGCAAGAGTTTGTCACCGAGATAGATTGTTAACTAGGCCCTTCATTTCACTCCTCCCCCGAGGTAACAACTGTTAGTTCGGCACGCGTATCACTACCTTCTCATCGAGAGGTGACCACCTTGGTAAAGTTGGTAGACTCAAGGTAATAACCAGATTATTCGAGATCTTGATGAGCATTACGATACACAAAATTGAGTATCTTCACTACTTCAAGAATTCGCGTGTATTACCCTGGCAGAGGAGTAGGACTTGAGTTGGCCGTCAGTCTGCCAGAATTTTGGCTTTGAGAGCGGACCAGGAGACACCCCCTGGCCTAGCAAGAGTCATAAAAAATTATCAGATAACATCGTCTACTGTAGAACAAAAACAGTGCTGCAGATCATACGGACCAGTTGGCCTTATCTTTTTAGGTTTTAGGTCTAGGCGTCAATGGTGCTAGACCCCCTTTTCTTAGCTCGCGGCACGGATTACGTTTCCCGCGCCTAAGATGAACAAGGCCTGCATTAGTTAAGAGAGAATTGTGCCTTTTCGACATAATATTGGCGTTTGCAGAGCACCACAGACATCTCCATGGAGCTCGGTAGGAGATGCATGCATTTGTATGCTTTGTCTACTGATAACCTTCTTACGATGGAGTTGCCTTCGAAGTGCGAAAACTTACATGTTGGACGCGAATTTCATTTCTAGACTAATTACTAAGCTAATTCAAGAGGGATATAGTTGATACTGGAAATTCTATCAGGAATGACCCTTCCGTGTTCCAAGGTGGATACCGTCGCACTAAGGCATAAAGAGTGCTCCGCTTGAACCCCATGCATGGGGGAAACCTGGGGAAATTCCAAGACTAGAAAAAAAGAGTGAACAATCGTACCTTGTCGTAGACATGCATGCTACACTCACCACGGGATTTCTTGTGATTTATTCACGTCTAAAGCCATGGGCTTTTTCATGCTTATACCTTGTTCGGAAAAACCTTGAAGATTTTATGTTGTCGGGTTTCTACGTAACCTGCTTGACCATGCAGTTGTCACCTAAGCAAATCCTTTTCTGCGGGTATCATGTGTAACGTCCTCGGTCTCATTTTTGGCGCGAATTTTGCTAGGTAGACCTTCCCTTGGTAGCTGAAATCTGCTCCTACTCCTTGTTCTATGTTAACGCCTAACAAAGCATACCTTTTTTTGTTGAAACATTTAGAATATTTACTTGGGTTCCCCGGCTTCCCTAGAAGACGGGGGTGGAAATCTTTAGCCTAGCTAAGGATCTTCGCACCATATGGTCCAATCAAAGGGCTGAATGAACTAGAGAAGTGGCATTGCATGCAGCCATGACTCAATTTGGAATGGAAGTGGCTTTGATTGCATTAAAGTCAGATCAGAACCAGTGCCTTGGTTTCGCATCGTTTGAGAAAGTTGGAAAGAAGTCCTGTCGTGGCATCTCGTTTGCATCACACCAACCGTAATATGCTAATTTTGTTGCTCTACTACTGGTGATGAAGGACCTGCACTTTTTGCTTGGTGTGTTCCTCCATCGCTTGATGTAGTGTCAAATTGTGGCTTGCACCATAGCTCCCTGTCACCATCCCGGAAATGGTGGGCTATTAGCTTAGAAAATTCCACGGCCGCACTGATACGATCTGCAAATCATACATATATTCATCCCGTTCACTCTGGATCCTTCTCACTTCCCTGACGACGATTCATAGAGAGCACGGCCATGATCCATAGGAAGACTAGATGGCCGACGAATCTCGAGTTCTCACCGTCTTGGTGGCTGATAGCATTCTGTTCTGGTTCTTGATCTTATTCCTCGCGGTAAGGCTTTGGGTCCGCTTTGGTATTCTCAGGAGCTTCGATTGGGATGATGGTACGTTCATAGTTTCAAAATAACACCCTTATTTTCCGTTGTTGACTTTACGTATCAAAGGACTCGTCTGTCTGAGTGCGGTATGTAATGAAGCTGTTTCCAAAGCGATGGCATCTTTCTGATTGCAACAGACTCTTCTGGTCGCACTATTAGCATCGATGATGACAAGTACGCGCGTTCTTCGAGTTGCGATCGCACCTATTATACTTATGCTGACGAGTTAGTGACCAATTATGGACTAGGAAGGCATCGCGACAATGTCAGAGATGATCAGTATCTCGTGTTTGCTAAGGTACCTGAATTGAGAACTGAAAACACCGCATGAGCCGTAACTGATTAGAATCACAAGCTTAACATGGTCATCGCTTGCTGTTATATCTGGGGCTTTGTAACCGCTAAGATGTCCTTTGCGTTTCTGTATTTCAAGGTCTTACCTGATCGAGGTTACAAGAGGTTCAACAGGGTCCTACTCGGTTTCCTTCTTGTTCAAGGTATTGAAGAAACCTGTGTTGTTCTTTTACAATGCAAGCCAATTCGAAAAGCATGGACGCCAGGACTCGATGGCAAATGTCTGAATCTTACCATCTTTTACTATGCAGTTGTAAGTCCCCATCTACCAATGATCTAGTCAGTGATTTGACAGTTCCAATAGTTTGCAATCAAATTGATCACCGACCTAATCCTCTTCATCGAACCCATCCCGGTGATGTGGAAATTGCAACTACCAACAGCTAAGCGGATCGGTCTCGTGGCCATGCTCTCCCTAGGTCTCTTGTTCGTCGCTAAGTATCTATGCCAATGCGTCGAAAGTCATAACTGATTAAACGTGTAGTGTATGCATTATATCTATCATTCGAGTGACTTATGTCAATTTCTCGTCAACAGATACCACTTGTAAGTGTCGCTGTTTTCCTCGTTAACCTCAAAGCTTTTCATAGTGTATTCTCATACCTCACATTCTAACTTCTATATAGACTCAGTCACTAGTTCTATGGTCTGGTCAGGGGTGGAGGTCACCGCCCTGCTCATCTGTTCCTGCATTCCATCCCTGCGACCGGCAGTCAAACAGTTCCCATCGATCAACCGCGCGCTCGGTCTCTCCTCCTCCGATCATAGCTCTGGCAGGTACTACGGAAACTCAGGCTCCAAAGGAGTTTCCATTGCCCTTACAAGCCGGCCCAAAGACAAATACATCCAATCTCAACGCGCCAACAGCCATCACAGCCGAGTTCATACAGCACATTTTGGGATCACGAGCACAGTCGCCCCGAAAGCCATCTCCAGCAGCGCCGCGAGTACCGATGAAATATTCCCGCATGATGTTGACAAACATGGTGGCATTTTGGTTACACATGACATTGCTATGGCTGAGGAAAGGCGAGAAATTTTCACGGCCGACGATTCGATGTCGGTGACGAGCGAAGACTCGATCACCAGGCCAAAGCCGGCGAGTTTATCTCACAAAAAGAGCGAAAATATGAGTTGGCTATCAGGGCAGTGAATCAGCCATCTGACGCGTGGCAGTCGGTCGTGTGGATTGGAAGTACAATGCTAGTTAGTAGATATCGGTAGTGTATATGGTAGGTCTTGATAATGCTTCAGCTAAGGTTATTTATTTCTTGATCATATGTCTTGGCCGCCTTCCTCTCAGCTGTCAGCAGTTCCAATATTGAGCCCTTCAATGCCTCCCGCAATGGTGAACATTCTATGCCCAGGCTTTTCTCGGCTTTGTGGCTGTTTATGGAGAATACCTCGTGAATCTCACAAACATCCTTTATTCGTTCAGGACGCGGTGTCCACGCCGGAAGATAAAAATAAACCCTGCGAGGTTGGACCTACATTTATCCCATGAAAACCTCCGCGGCCACATTTGGCCTTAAATAGGAAGACATCCACCTACATTTCTTCGCATGAGATTGCGGGATGGAACTGTCTTTCTTCCTCTGATAAATGGTCCGCGTCTACCTGTAATCGAGCCAAAAGTCCACGATAGCCGCGCGCGCTTCCTTTTTCCACCGATCCTCGTTGCAGTCCTATGGTCTACCTATCGTCCTTAGATGTCATCTTACAATATTAGTAGTATCCGATACTATTAATCATCTTGTCACGTACAATATCGTGTACGATATCGCGCACGATGGCACATCAAGACGCGGTTGCTTCGAATCTGCCAGTGGAATCTACAGAAGCTTCGGTCGATGCTCAGGGGGCGACCTCGGAGAAAACCCCGGCACAGTTCCGGAGGGGGCCGAGGTTCTGGGCCATCTTGTTTGTCCTCGCGCTCGTCAGCCTCCTGACATCTTTGGAAGCCACAGTCACCTCGACCGTTATGCCGTCCGTCGTGGCCGATTTGGGCGGAGGCAACGATTACATCTGGATTTCTAACACCTACTTTCTGACCATGTAAGCCTACCCTCCCGCCTCTCGAGACAGACAGCAGAGAAGCCTATCTAGCTATCGAACCAACTAGGGTAACTAATTTATGTATGTAGGACTGCTTTTTTACCCACATTTGGCCAGGTAGCAAATGTCTTCGGCCGCCGGTGGCCCCTGATAGTATCCACGGCCCTCTTCATGCTTGGGAGCGGTATATGTGGCGGGTGAGTTGCTGTTTCCTCATAATCTTGCATAGATACCTACCTATGGTCCATTGTCTTGCCGGGGAGTCATTGTTCCTCACGGAGCTCAGAGTCTTTGCTGACGAGACGGGCAATGCACAGAGCTACTAGCATGGCCGCGATGATCGGCGGCCGAGCGGTTCAGGGGATTGGAGGCTCGGGCATCGGTGTCCTCTGCGAGATGGTGATCTGTGACCTGGTGCCGCTACGCGAGAGGGGAGCCTACTTGGGCGTAGTGCTTGGCATGGTCGGTCTGGGAGCTGCCCTCGGCCCCCTATTTGGTGGGCTCCTCGTCAGCTACAGCACCTGGCGCTGGGCTTTCTACCTCGCTCTGCCAATTGGTGCTGCTTCGCTGGTGCTGCTGTTTGCCTTCTTGCACGTCAAGTATGACAAGTCTCAGACGCTGGCCACCAAGCTTTCGAGCCTCGACTGGCTGGGCAACGCCGTATTCGTCGGTGGTGCCACCCCAGTGTTGATTGCCCTCAGCTGGGCGGGTGGCCAATATACGTGGTCTTCCTACCAGGTCCTCGTGCCACTCATTGTCGGTCTGGCCACGATGGGTGGCTTTGTCGTGCTCGAGAGTAATGCCCGCCTCGTGCCAAACCCCCTTATGCCCCTTCATCTCTTTGGCCATTCCATCACTGCCATCGTCTTCCTCTTAACCTTTCTCCACGGCATCGTCACCATGTGGGCCTACTTCTTCCTCCCGGTCTACTTCCAGGGTGTTCTTGCCGCGAGCGCCTATCGCTCCGGTATCATGCTCCTCCCCACCATCCTCGCACTCCTCCCGGCCGCCATCCTCGGTGGCGTGCTGCTTACCAAGTTTGGCCGCTACAAGCCCATCCTTGCAGCCTCCTTCGCATTGATTGTCATTGGCTTCGGTCTCTTCTCGATCCTGGATGAGAACTCGAGCACGGGCGCCTGGGTGGGGTTCCAGGTGGTCGAGTCATTCGGCGCGGGCTTCGCCATGGCGGCCCTGCTCCCCGCCCTCCTGGCCCCGCTCACAGACAAAGACACGGCAATGGCGACGAGCACGTGGGGCTTGATGCGCAGCTTCGGCATCATGTGGGGTGTTGCCATCGCCGGCACCATCTTCACCAACCGGGCTGCGCAGCTGGCCGGCTCGGGTGCCATCGGCAGCGACGCAAAGGTGGCCGCCCAGTTCAAGGCCGGCGGAGCGTACGCGGCCGCCGACCCCAAGTTTCTCGACTCGCTCTCGGCACAGACGCGCGCCGAGGTGATCGCTGTACAGAGCAGCGCACTCCAGCGGTCATGGCAGGTCGCTATTGCCTTCGGCGCAGTGGGGCTCATCGCTGCTGCTGTGATGAAGCAGGTACCGCTCAGAAAGGAAAACGACACTGACTTTGGCATGGTCGAGAAGGAGGACAAGCCTATCGAGGAGGAGGCTAAAGGCAAGACAAGGAAGCAGGTCCTAGTGGCTGCGTCGTAATATCGTGCAAGATACGGGTTCTTCCAGAGTCGAATTAGAAAAGAATATCATATGTATTATAGTGATGGCGGCGGGACTGGTTGTTGGCAAAGTGAATCTAACGAAAACCTCGTCTCTTGTTTCTAGGCACATTACCATATGTAGTGTATAGCCTGCCCTAGATGCCAGAATTCCACTCAATCATCAAGAAATCTCATCGAGTCCTGGATACTGGCTCGTATCGACTCTACATACGACTTGCAACCCCGTAGTGACTTGATGTCCTCCTGTGCCATGACAGCCCAAAATAACCGTGATCGGTCTGCATGGGAGAGTATACCTGGGGTGGCAGCTGTGGGTGAGACAGTCGGCTCGCCCGAGAGGCAGTACTCAGCCGGAATCCCCATGCAGCGCTCCAGGGTTCGCATCTGGCCCTGAATGGCATCGAGGATGCCTGTGGCGTATGTCTTTAGCGGCATGTCCTGGAGCGAAGAGATACCACCTATGCGGAGTGCCGACTTGACCTTGACGGACTTGAACGAGTCCGGCGGCATCTTGCAGATAAATTTGTAGATGGTATGGAACAGGAAGTCGAAGAGCCTCATCAATGCAAGGTAGCTCGACAGAGCCAGGAGCACGATCTCTGTGCTAAGCGTATTCTCGCTCTGCACGTGTACCCGACTTGCCGGTACCAAGCTCTGGATAATGTCGATGAAGTCTTTGCAGCACGTTAGGAGCAACGCAGCCGGGTTCTCGGCTTCTTGGCCCGCGCTATCCTCTTTGCAGCCCTGCACGACTTTGAGAGGGTCCGAGAAGTACGCGTCCGCCTCCGCAATGCGCTGGTCCATCTCCTCTCGGAACCGCATCAGCGAACTTGCCGGGTTGGAGCATTGTGGCTGGGTATTCGGGGGGCGGACGCCCTCCCACAGACCGAGGAGCGGATCAATATCCAAATCGAGAAGCGCAGTACTAGAGTCCCGGCCCATGTGGAGCATCGCTTTGAGCTCATCATCTGCACCGAGTAGCCCTTGAATCTGCGATGGACTGGTCAGCTGATCCGCCAGGGCGAGGATGTCTTCGCTCGGCGCAGGGCGTTGGTCGATCGAAGAGGTGCCGAAGAAAGAAGCAGAGTCGTCGCCCGGCGCTCCCCAGAAATCTTGCTGTGGTCCATGAGCCAATAGGTGTCTCTGCCGGTGCGGATGTACCGCGGATAGTTCAGAATGCGTGAGGTCGGATCGTGTAGTGCCGTCTAGCCGGTCCCACGACATGCGTCGTTCTATCCTGCACCGTGACTCCCTTGGAGACGTGCCGGCCGGTGTAGGCTCCGCTGCCATTGCAGGGCCAGGGTCGTCGACCTGGTCTATATCTCGCAATGTCGACAAGCGATGCCGGCCCAGGGGTGAGGAGACACGGGCAGGACTCGCCGCGAGGCCTCTGAGGGCCTTGCTGCCACCATCGACGAGACGCAGCTTGGGCGGTCTTCCGGGATGACCGGGGGCGCCCGTCACGCATCGCGCACCGATGTGGGAGCAGCGGGCGCATGGCGCCATGCTGTTTTCGGCGCGAAGGCACCGTACTCGCTTGGCTCTGCACTGATCACACGCAGAGCGCCTGACTGTCGGCTTGATCATGTCGGTGGGTGTCCTGCCTACCTTAGGTACCTAGCGAGGAGACACGACAAAGCGGTTGCAAAGTGGTTGCAAAGCGAGCGGGCTGAGGCGATGATATTTGGCATGATGGTTGGCCGAGAAAGAAAACCCCCTCGGAGGGTTTGGTAACGTAGCCAATCAGCAAAAATAACGAGCGATTCTACATCCTACCAATAATATCCCGACCTAAGCAAATCAACAGCTCTGTTGTCGCTATCTCCCATTTGTTGACTTGCTTTCCTTATTATTGCTCTAATATAGTCGAATTAAGACAGTTTTATATCTTATTCGAGGCCCTAAAACTTACTCCAATTATCGAAGTAGGGATTTTGGCTGATACAGAAAGCTGAGAAAAACGCCTGTTGGTGCTCAGGAGCTCTTTGCAGGCGGCGACTATTGGCAGTGAAAGAAGTCGCTGCAACCATTGAATATACAAGCTCAGGGTCGGTTATTTCTGCCTATTCTTATCTTGTCAAAAATTTCTCGACAGCAAGTCCAGAAGTCTGGGACATTGGATAATTACAACAAAGTACCGCTCCCAGTCACAAGTATATACAGTCCATTCAGCCAGCCAGCCTGTTCTTCACATAGGGTTGCAACTGTCCAGACAATCTCCTCTAGATGAGCAAGATGGGATCCTGCAGCAACATTCTCTGACCTTATTTTCAACTGGTCTAGTAGCTCTTGGGGCCAGCTGAGGAGTGATGCGGTTCCGACTGGGCCAGGAGCAACTGTATTGACCGTGCACCCATACTTCCAGGAGAAATCGCGAGCCCAACACCGTGTGAAGCTCCCAATCATTCCCTTGCTGTCGGCATATATAGTCGTGTTCGAATCAGGATCTTGGGATGTTGAGCTGCCAATGTTAATGATTCCCTTACTATCACCTACGGGATCACGAATTATAGCTCTTGTGAGGATGAGAGTTTCGCGGCAATTTAGGTTGATTGATTGATCCCAGTCCTTGTGAACCTGAGCATTAGATGCATCCAGTATGTTGCAGATGGAAATTGTTTAGCCCGTGATATGATATTTCTTGCACAACTCGGGAAAGAGCTTAAAGGACCCTTTCCAAGTAGATGGACTTGTCGCTCTTTCTCGGTCTACGAACCATTGGTCAAGGCTACGCTATTGCTATGTATGATATCTTTTCTTTTGCGGCCGCTTTCTAGGCGCCATACATGATCAATAAGGAGTATGGTAATATAGGGACAAACGTTGGATATTTCTATTTTGGCATAACTACTGCTGTTTTTGCTCTAACTCTCCTACGTTCTGGAAACTGGCAGATTCAGCTTGGAACAGATTGATGAGTATTTATCCAATGGTGACAGGGCCTAGAGTACAAACTTGGGAAAGAACAAGAAAACAGCAGCTGAGGTACTGAATGGGGATAGTCAATGAGAGTGACGGCCAATGATGACAGTGGGAGAACAACTTCACTAGAGTATTTCAGAGTTCTAAACGGTGGATTGACAAAGACTTCCCGTTCTTTTACGCATCAAAGACCAGAAAGCCTTCCTTGAAGTTTTATCTTTTATTTGCTAGGTGTGCAGAAAGACTTTCAACAATTGGCAGATCTTGGCGAGCCATTGAGTCACTGCTTTCTACCTTGGTCTAGGCATGTAGGGTATGTGTAAAGTGAGTATCCATAATTATGTGTGAGTGCAAAGACTCATGTACCTTCCCAAGTTGACGAAAGATCACGATCATGATCACGTGGAAGCAGCTGGAGACAAGGGGATATTTGTCTTCTACACCACCTTTCTATATTTACGGCTGCATTCCCATCAGCCCAAACCGTCCGCCTTCACAGAGAGACCATTCTTTTTCTGACCAGCTTCATCTGATCACAATCGAGCCAGACCAAAAGAAATAGCAGTCTCCTGAGAGTTTCCACCCGAAGCTTGCAAGCATGGCTCCGGACACAGTGATTCTCGATGAAGATGGCGACCTCATCCTGATCGTCGGTGGTGACGAAGACCCCGACGTCGTCCCAACAGTCTTCCACATCATGCCAAGTCCACCTACAAGCTTTCAGGTCTGCTCAAGAGCTCTGTCGCGAACATCGCCCGTGTTCAAGGCCATGCTCAATGGTCCTTTCAAAGAATCGCGATCAAACAATACCTTCAACACGAATGACTGGGTTGTTGAGCTGCCCAGTGACAATCCAGAATCATTTGGTGTTCTCCTTCATATCATTCACAGCAACTTCGATGTGGTGCCGAACTCAGTGGACCTACTCCAGCTATTCCAAATCTTGGTGGCTGCAAACAAGTACGACATGGTCCGCATCATCCGACACTTCTTGAGTGTGTGGTTCGATGTCAACAAGCAATGGCTTTGGCCACTTCCTACTGTTCCGGACTTACAGCTCCTGGTTCAGGTTTCATATGAGCTTGGTGTGGAAAGCATATTCCGAGAGGCAGTCATCAGCCTAGCCCTACATTGCGAACTCAAAGATGGAGAAGCAGACAAGAACAGCTGGTTCATCTGGGACACGCTGTACTTTCGCCCACCTTCTTTGAAGTGTAAGTCTTCGAATCAACATCTCCAAAGTGTGAACGCTGATCAAATGTGCAAATAGGGACTGTCGCGTGCATCCGCGAACAAGCCGCTCGTTACGCACTGTCCGTGTTCCAGAGATATGCAGAGACCAGAGACGCTGATCTTCTTGACTGCCATGTTAATCATTGCCCGGCACATGCGCTTTTCCGTCGCTACGTAAAGAAACGGTCCTTCTTTTGCGGTTTCGCGTTGATGAATACATACACTGGGAGCTTCGAAGACTTGATGGACGAGCTACACACCTTGGAGCGTAAGAGGCTCAATGGGGACTGCAGGAGGCTTGATAGATCCAAGATCTGCGAAGGAAATGCTAAGCTTATCAAAGAGCTTCATACCCGGCGAAATCACGAGGATATTGTTCACATGTCTAAGCAACGGGAAAAATACGGCATCAAAGGACAGAGTATGAGAAGATGAACGATGACGGTGACAGTGAAGAGGATGATGGCTTGGGCTTCGGTTGGTAGTGAGGATGGGCTGCAGATCTGGAGGTGGAGAGCCCACTACAATTTGACCAGACCACAGAGGAGGCATCGTCGTCAATTCGTCTGCGGCTGCTACATCACAAAACAACAGCTTGCAGGATTCATGCACAAGGAACTAGTAACTCCATTTTCAGTCTAGCTAGTTAGGCTGAATTCAATGATTACCAATGCAAACATTCCATGATGCTTCTAGAGTGAAAGAGCCGAAAAGAACGACATGTCCACAGCCTCTCCAGAGCGCTCCTCCATAAACGCCATCCACTGATCAACCGCACGAAGAAATCTTCTATTAGGTCTCGAGACTGCTGGGTCATTGACTTGGTCATGATTGTCCACCTTGAGACCGTCCTGCCTCTCCTCGATCTCTGACTCATCGTCGGTTGGAAATGATCCATAATTAACGTTGTTCAGGGCCGATCGTGCGTTCATAGTCAGTAGAGTCGAAGCATGATGCACCGTCTCGTTACTTGTTCTCAAGTATGCGGCTCGAGCGGACGTGAGACGGGAGAAAAGCGCCACAATAGCTTCGCCTTGGTCCATGAAATACTGGGCTGCTGCCTCAGCTGACCCAGCCACAGGCTCCTATATTGTTGTGTTAGCAAGATACCAGTGTGCTATCGATCTAAAGGTCATACTTGGCCGGGTTGCTCCTTCTGTTGCGTCACTACCTCTCTGCGCAGAAACCTCCACAGAATCATGGACCAAAACTCGGCGCTCTTTTCGTCGCCCGGAACGTAGGCTCTGCTCTCCGTGCCAGGTGTACTCCGTGCAACTGCCCTCTCGAAAAGAATGTGGAGGGTTCTGACGAGGTCCTTGATCTTATTAATCCCCAAATGTCTTCTTCCAATTTTGTTGAAATTGAGGAGAATTGCCAAGTCCTCGAGCTGCTTTTCAGTCAACTGTGTTACACCGGGATAAGCAATCCGTGATGAGGGGTTGTTATCTGGATTCTCGCCGGATGAATGCAAGAAGAAGGTGAATCCTGGCAGTTCAGTAGAGAGCAGATGATTGAGCTGAGTGGGTGTGATCAGTCCACTATTCTCCTTGAATCCCTGAGCCTCAAGCTCTTGAAGGTTCTTGGGCAGTTTTGCGAGATTATCAGGAACTCCCGGAAGAGGATTGACAGTGTTGTGAATTGAGAGATAAGGTGCATCATCCACATCCATGGCACCTGCTGCTCGCAATGCAGCTCGTCGATATGCTGATCTCGTCATCATTCGATGTCTGTTCTCACTGGGACCAGGAATCTTTGTGACTTTATTTTTGTCCCTCTGCAATGCCTTTGACTTGGCAGCCTTGAACCTGTGCTTGCGCAACTTCTGTCTACGAGCTGGGGTTGGGGTAGGAGGGTCATTTGTATCTTTGTGACTGCGGTTGCCGGCGGCTTCATCATGAGATGACACTATGATTGTCGGAATGATAGCGAATGGGTTGTTGAGTGTGATTCTGTTCCCAACACGGCCAGCTGGGCGCGCATCGTCGAGGTCCATGGGCTCAGCCATGTTGCCTCGATTGCGTGGTTGTGGTCAGCTTGACAATACTGGTGTACAGCTTGCGAGGAGAGGAAGAAAGAACGGGCAAGAAACAGGCTGAGAAGGGTTGACGCAAAAGAGATTTTCTTTGCGAAAAAGGCGTGGTTCGGATGAGATGCCTTGGAAGAAAAGCGCGTTGTGCAGAACTATGGTCGTCAAGCGCGACGCGTGCCTGCCATTTACAGTTGCAAATTGTTGCAAGACCTAAAGATTTTCTTACGATCAAGGATCTGACAAAGTACAGCTAGCGTAGACTGTGACCACATCATATAGCATGCACGTCAATGTTGTTATGTCTGGCCAACAAAGGGGCTTGATCAAGCTGCTTTAGGTTCTTACCTTGCAACCATTCATCTTACACGATAACCCCTACCTTTCTCCTTAGAGACCCTTCAATGCTATGGCGAACCTTTCCAGCTACATTAGGATTTTGTCTCATACTGGATGATGTCCCTCCATTTAGGGTTTGTGAGAACCCTGGATGTAATCTTAGAGTCATCTCACATATAATGGAAGGGTAGTCGAAACTCAATCATCTTGAGTGATAGGCAGCAGGTAAACTTAGTTCCCTCATACCATAACGCAATAGCTTGACTCGCTCATAGTTATCTTCTCTTGAACAATATTTATGAGCTATATGATATAATAACACGATTGCCCGACATGTCAGCAAAATTCCCGCCTCCATTTCTACCGAAAATCAAGACTCCAAACTTTGGAGGGCTCAAGCAATTGCAGAGGACTTTGGCATTGCGCGAGCAGGGAGCGTTAACAACAGATGCTGTTTTTATCTCCCTCGACCTCGAAGGACCCTCACAACATCGCCATGCTCTTAACTTGGCTGAAAAGCCTGTCATCAAACAGATTGCGTTCGCTTTCCTTGACACAAGAGATCTCCACAGCTTGCCTGCTTTGAACAATCTTGAAAGCCTAATTTCAGTACAGATGTTTGAGACCAGAAGGTTCCCAAAGTACCAGAAGACCTCGCCACCTATAGAAATCCAAGGGGAGTGTGTATTTGCGCGGTCGAGGCTCATTGCTCAGAGAGACATACCACGAACGGTGCTCCAGAACCTGCACATCAGTGACAGCCGGGACAGTTCCAAATCCGGCCAACTGCGAAAGATAGTTATCGTCGGCCATTCAGTCAAGGGTGATCTTCGAATACTACAGCTCCTCGGTATTGATGTTACCAGCATCAGCTCCGTGCTGGCCATCATCGACACGCACGCAATATCCCGCTTCGTCTTCCCACCATTTCACCCGAGTTTGCCTAAGCAGCCCGGCCAGAATTTTACCCTGGCTGGCATGCTAGCTCAGTTCGGGTACAGACCACCTGCGTGGGGGTTCCACAACGCCGGGAATGATGCTGTGTACACGATGTACTTGATGTTGCTTCTCGCTGTCAAGGACGGCGAAGTGCGCATGAGCGAGCTAAATATGAACGAGTTGAGAAGGCTGGGTACAATTAGGCGCCTAGTAGTCGGAAGCTTGGGATTAGGCATGGATTTTCAGGATAAAGGATATCAACTGGTGAGTTCCGAAGGGGAGGCAACACTCGGAGCAGGGCTTAAGGGGCTGGCATCGAAGGCATGGGTTGACTCAAGTGATTGTCTTCGAGCTCTTGAACATACACATTCACAGCAGCAGAGGAAAGAATAGTACATGTCAATCCGAAGGTATTTTATCATTATTGCCAGCTGCTGTAGCGCGCTGTTTTGTATGTGATCTTATGTGTCGTATATAAGCAGATAAACCAGGCAATTCGCATCAACCACGGATATGCACAGACCACACTAACTACATACACTCTTCCGACTCCCCTGCTCCTCTGCTATGGGCATTACCTTCCTGTATTTCAGGTAAGGCTCTAACACGAAATCGCAACATGAGCAGGCGCTTTGTTTGAACAGAAAAGTTGGTCTCAGGACCTCATATGTAGGGAAACAATGCTTTGTAAAGAATAGATGGGTATGATCTAGACCAGCTTTATATGTAAACAGATCAGTAGTTCTTGGCAGGGTCGAACTTGTTTTCCTGCACCTTCTTCCACGACTCGATCTCAGAGTCATCGAGAAGCGAGCGTTGACGCTTCCTAAATCCACCCCTGCTCTGTCTCCAGAGCATTACGCCAATGCCAATCAAGGCAACACCGACAACCGGAACGGTGATGGCAATTGCAGTGATCTTGGCATTCGAGCTGGATGAAGACTGAACCCCTCCGGAGGCAGAGGTTTGGAGAGCGGCAGTACCGGTGGTCGCGGTGCTTTCCGCGGCAGGAGTTGCAGACGGTGGTAGGACGGCAGTTGTTGTGATGGATTGAAACGTAGTCAATGGTGAATTCGTCGCGGCTGGTACAGAAGCCGAGGACCTGATGATGGAGGAAACACTGTCGAGCAGGGACGTCGAAGACTGGATGCTGGTGGAGCTCGATAGAGACACCACGACGACTCCGGGGGTGGACGTGATTGACGTAGTCTCGGCAGAGGGCGTAGACTTCACAGATTCCGAAATAGAAGACGAAGAGGCGGTAGTAGCGGATGTGGCATCTGGAGAAGATGTCGATGACGTTTTGGTCTCGTCTGGACCCAAGTTTAGGAGCGAGCTCGACAGCAAGGGAGGGAGGGACAGCAACGGACCTGGATCCTCTGGGTTCAAAGCTGCCGGTGCGGTTGGCTCCGTATCGGCAGGGAGAGCCGTTGTCTCCGGTGGCGGAGGAGCAGAAGTGGTCGTCGAGGTCGTGCTCGTGGTTGTTTCCTCAGGAGGTGGAGGAGGAGCCGCAGCTGACGTCTCCTCTGGAAGAGCCTCAGTTTTGGTGGCATCCGCCGCACCGCCGTTTCCCAATAAACCGCCCACCAGCGGCGTCGCGATATCCCCGACGGCGTCTCCCACACCGCTCACCAGTCCACCCAGAAGGCCCGCCATCTTTCAAATACCCAAACGTGTGCGGACTTGAGAGCCCAAAGAACGGAAACTCAGAAAGTAAGGTTGGTAGAAGTTGTTTGAAAGAACGAACTTATCCGACAGGCCAGCTGCGTTTTCCAAGGATTTAGTCGAAAATAAAGTCAAGACATTGAAGACAGTTAGTATGCAGAGGGAAGAGGAGCAAAAGAAGGTGTGGCTGCTTCTCGAAAGCCAAGGAGGGCGGGCATCATATAGCAGCGCCATGATCGCCGGGAGGTGCCGATCGTGGAAAGGGGCTCTTGGTGGCGCATTGCATCGCATGTTACAAAGTCCCCGGTACGACGTCAGATCGTGGTGAGAAGAGTCGACGGACAGACGTCTGGTCGCGTTTGATAGACGCCAAGGCCGGGGCAGGGCCAAGGACGGCCAAGGGCGATGCCCTCTGATCGTCAGGGGTGTTCGTAGAGAGAGCGCCGGGAAAGCGTCGATAAACTTAGGCGGCCTCGAGACGTCTGGAAGAGAGAGTGCCCTTGAGTGCTGGCAGAATTGGCCTGTGACGCATTGAGGGACCCTTGACCCGTTCCCCCAGCTCTCGGCAGTGTCATGACCTGGGAAGTGCTCATCTTTAACCCGAATAAGGTTGGTCCCTGGGTGAGAGGCCATTCGCAGACCAATGGACGCGCCTCTCAGGGATTCTGAAACTGCTCGGCAGCGAAGGGGTGGCCTGAAACAAAACGTCGGGTCGCTGCGGTCAGAGCGCGGGTGCTGCAGCTGTATCGCAGCACTCAAAAGTTGCCACCACCATCATTCAATCGTCCATCATCACGTCCATCATCATCATCTCGGCTTCAAATAAAGGCAAGAAGAGCAAAGCATGCATTAGGAGATGCCAACTTGGAGTGGTTGCTGAAGGTCGAAAGACAGCGCTTCAACGCCGGCAGGAGCGACTTTCTTAGTAACAATTTACGATCCTGTCCTCCTTCCTCTCTTCCTTCCCTCTCTTGTTCCTTTTGCGGGATCATGCGTTTGATCTTCCGTGTCGCTCCTTCTCCCCCAGCTACTGCTCGGAATAGCAACTATCTACCAACCGTCTTTATTTATCGGGAAGCCGTGGACTGCCGAGGACCCGTTAACGTTTGGCTGTCCGTACTGTCCTGTACTCAGCAGTCTGAAGTCTTGTGCCGGTAGTGCATGAAGGGCACTGCTATGAGTGATTGTGGTCCGTATGGACTTTCGGGCCTGAAGGCCCACCAGCCTGACTTTGGGGTGTCCTTCTTGGAAAGTTGAAGCTATTCTTCGCCAATTTCTTTTCCTCTCCGAGATTTCCTCCAATCCCTCGGCGATGTCGCTGATGAATGGTCTTTCGTTGGTGATCATGCGGTGTGTCACGTACAATCACGCATCGTCCCATCTCTTAGCAACCTTCTCTTTGCTCTTTGGTGTGCCAAGTTCGTTTCAATCCCATCTCTCAAGTCCCGGCCGTGCCACCTCAGCTATTTTCGTCTTCTCAGGTTTGACTCGTTTCATTGCTCTCTTTTCAGCCACGAACAAGGAGCAAGTGCCGTATCTAGTCTTCTAGCCTTTCCGTTGCCTTTTCCCTAGATCCAATGACAATCCTGCCTTCCAGGGATGCCTTGAACTAACAAGGCAACAACAAGCACACGAGGGAGTTTTCCCCGGGTCCCTACCGGAGACCTACCAGACAAGAAAGATGGGTTTTCTGAAGCCAGACCACATCCAGATGGGAGCCTTCGCAAGCCTCTTTGACAGGGCCTTACAACTTCCGCAAAAGTCGTGGCGGCTCAAGGAAGCCGTTTCCCGTCGCGTGCGGCAGAGCAACGGAAGCCCTCCTGCTCGGGCTGGTTTGTACCGATGTTTGCATGCATATGCAATTTGCAATGATTGAGACTTTTGGATAGGATCAGGCTGTTACGCGGCGTAGAAATCGCACGTGCAGTGAGGAGTTGGTTGTTCTACAAAGTTCCCCTGCTGGCATCGCTCAGTCCAGAATCCTTCGCAACACGACCTTCCCAATCCCATTGCGATCATCTGGTCAACCCAGCTTTGAGTACCCGGCAACCCAGCGGGAGTCGGCCTTCGACTGTACTCAATCGGACCTTTTCAAGTGCTTTCCAGGATTCGTGGAACCCCGCAATGCGGGGGAAGTGCTGGCTAAGGCTGCCAAGATGCGGCATCTTGAGGTTGTAAGCAAGTACCGTTGCAGCGTGCATTGCACTAGGCATCCTTTCAAAAGTAGCATTTCTCTCCAGATGATATCATCGAACCGGTGGAGGACTTGTTTAGGTGTCTTACGATCAGAAGTTTTGCACTGCAGACCAAGGGGCAGTCATGTTAAGCCGGGAGAGAGCACCGGGTCATCCGGCAGGAGACCGGGACCAGAAATGCGGAGGGCGCTACATTGCGAACTCGGGATCGCCGTTGAGCATTGTTCGTTCCTGGTCTACGGATGGATTTTCGGGGATCAAGCTAGCCGTCATGAACTAAGTTTGAGATACAATGGCATCACGGCGAATAGCCTCACTCCAGGCATAACGACTACTATTTCCTTTGGATGAGATTATTTACTGATGGCGACGAGGCGAAATCACCCGTAATTACCAAGTTCTTGAACATGACCTCCTCACGTAGTGCGGCCATTGCAAAGTGTTCCTCTTGTCGGTGTAGCGCAGCGTATTGACTGTGCCACGTTACGACGGCCACCACCTGCTTCGGCGCCGGGACACATGACTGTCGATGGCACCACGAACGCATGACTTCAACCATTGGGCAATCCTCAAGGCAAGATTTCTCCGCATGTCACCCTCCTCCGCAGATCTACTCCAACCACAGCAGATCACATCTCTCCCCCACTGGCCGAGCGTGCATCTGCGGAGCTATTTAATTTCACGGTCGTCAACATGTCCATCCTGCAGTTGAAAAGGCGGCGTCCTACCAGAGTTGGCCAAGAGGCTTATGCATCCATCGCGTGCATATCGTCCACCGGAAGCCAACTCTTGGAGCGCGGGTGGCTGGACGCCATCCGCCAGGGGCGGAGACGAGCCGGGGGACTCGCTGCAAGTCCATTATGACACAAGCACATCATCTTAGAACTGCGGTGTACCGTTGCTGGTACCTGGTATAAGAACCATGGATCTCGTCGAGCTTCTCGTGATCTACTGTCCGGCAGCAGCCGGAGGCTTCTTACCATAACGGTGACTTCGCAAGAGAGAATTGTGGAGCTTGTAGCCTTTTTGGGAGGGTTTTCGACAGACACTCCACGGCTTTCAAGATGCGGTCGACCTTTGGCATCTTACTGCCACTTCTGGCACAGCTTGTTTCTGCCGGCACTCGTTGCAAAAGCAGCACAACCTCTGCATCTGCAGCTACGACGCTGACGACGGTGACCATCAGCACTTCAGCTACATCGCCTCCAGCTACAACCCCAGTGCCCTACTCACTCAAGACACCTCCACTGGATACTCTATGGACAGACAAAGTTGGGACGAACCCGTGGCCAGAGCATCCTCGTCCTCAGCTAAAGCGCGACGCATGGAAGAACCTCAATGGCATTTGGACATATCAGCCTGCCTCTGGCGATGGCGATGTCAACAGTCCTCCTTCCGGTCCACTTGCGCAGGAGATTCTCATCCCTAGTTGCATTGAAAGTGCATTGTCCGGGATTCAAGAACTGAATGTTACGCACATGTGGTTCGCCACGACGTTTACTGTTCCAGAGGACTGGAGTGGACAGTCGATAATCCTGAACTTTGAAGCGATCGACTACGAAGCAACAGTCTTCATCAATGGCATTCAAGCCGGCTTTCACCGAGGAGGTTATTTCCGCTTCACAATCGATGCCACGCAATTTGTGGATGTGTCTGGGTCAAACAGCTTGTAAGTATGCACACTTTGTGAATCAAGCGGGTTACTTGAGGCTGACCCTGACGGCAACAGACTTGTTTTTGTCCATGACCCCACTGACCTGCCACCCAATGTCATTCCCATTGGCAAGCAGACGAGAAACCCAGAACATATCTGGTATGTTCCGTGCAGTGGCATCTGGCAGACGGTCTGGCTGGAAAGTGCCCCGTCAAACTACATCTCGCAGCTTGATGTTACTGCGGGCATGGATGGCACAGTCACCGTGAACGTTCATAGTTCTTTGAACCAATCATCGCCTGTCGAGATCTCGGTGATCACGGGTGATGGTGATGTTGTTGCCACTCACAGTGGTACTTCCGATTTGCAGTTTGACTTCACCGTAGATTCCCCTTCATTGTGGTCACCGGATTCGCCCACTTTATACAACCTCACTGTGAAGCTGGGTGATGACACTGTCTCTAGTTACACCGGCTTCCGTACAATTTCCTCGGGCATTGTTGACGGGGTGCAACGGCCATTGTTGAATGGAGAGTTTGTGTTTCAATTCGGAACTCTAGATCAGGGGTTCTGGCCAGATGGTATTTACCTCGCGCCGACTCTCGAGGCACTGGAGTTTGATCTCCATGTTTTGAAGAAAGTGGGTATGAACATGGTCAGAAAGCATGTAAGTCACCATCCCTATTCTGTGAGCCCAGGACCAGCCCCCGACCAACATGCCGTAGATCAAAGTCGAGCCCGATCTCTTTTATCACGCATGTGATACAATCGGCCTGCTCGTCATCCAAGACATGCCAAGCATGTCACCTCGTGTCGGTGCCCCTAGCGGTCTTGTCCCGAATGCAGACCAGCAAGCCGAGTTTGAACGCCAGATTGGGATCCTGGTCAACGAACACAAAAACTACCCATCCATAGTTACTTGGGTGAGTACCACTGCTCTATTAGGCCAGCTATGAGATGCACTGCTGATCATGGTCGTTCTAGGTCATCTATAATGAAGGTTGGGGCCAGATCAGGGATACTTACTATCCTGAGTTCGGCATTGCGGATAAGATTAGGGCAGCCGATCCAACGCGCCTAATCGATGCCATCACTGGATGGTATGATCATGGCGCTGGAGACTTCCATGTAAGGCCAATTGTCAATATGGCGCTACTATTTACTGAATGCATTCTAGGATAACCATCATTATGCCAATCCGCAGTGTGGTACGCCATTCTACTCCATTCAGTCCACACCGTACGACCCCACGAGGATTGCCATACAAGGAGAATTTGGCGGTATAGGTCACAATGTGTCTATTGAGCAGTAAGTATTGTCCAGGAAACTGTTCATTTCAGCTTTTCTAACTGATTACAGTCTCTGGAATAATCAGAAAGCTATTGACGCCATAAATCAGACTTATGAGCTGAATGCCGACCTTGAGTCATATAATTACCGGGCACATCAACTTCTCACCGAGTTCCGAGACCAGGTGGCACTGTATTCCTGCAGTGGCGGCGTTTGGACGCAGACCACAGATGTGGAGGGGGAGGTTAATGGGCTAGTGACATATGATCGCCGACTTTGGCGCCCGGACATTGAACAATGGCAAAAAGATATTCAGGCTTTGTATGATGCCGCTACGGGACGAGGCGGTGCAGGGAATGGTACACAGGCAAGGCTGATGGTGTAAGCGCGTGTGCATTCTTGCAGACATTATATCGAAAAAGCCTTTGACGCCTATATTAGGTATTAATCTAATTATAAACCATCATGCTTGTTCTAATGGTCTCGTGTCTGCGAATTTTGAAGCCGGTTCACGGGTTCAGTCACTCCTTTAGATGCTCTTCATCATCTTCGGAAGAATCCTCAGGGGAAGTTGTGGATGCAGGCACTGGCTCTTTAAACCCCATTTTCTGCGAGACTTTTGCCTCAAGTTCATCCCATTGACTATGCTTTTTATTGATGTCCTGTGCAGGACTAACTGGAAGGTTTCACTGCTGTCAGCACTATGCCCTGTTGGTTGATAGCCGATGGCACTACTCACTTTTCGTAAACATCCACTTGATCCCGTCGATTTCCTTGATCGGCCCAATCTCCCTGTATTTGAGTCCGCTCGCAGCCAGGTCTTCAAGCTGGGTCATTAGATCTCCCTCAAGCAGATTGTACTCTACTTCAGCATTTGGTGCCTTGGCCATAAGGATAACGCCCTCGAAAGGAAAAGAGCTCATCCAGACAGTGATAGCCTGTCCAGGCTCTAGCGTTCGCTTGAGAGGCGGTCTTGTCACGTCCAAGCCTTTGTAACCTTGCGTGTTGATTCGTATGACCTCCTCCAGGACATTTTGGCACTGAGCAACCGAAAGCTCGGAGGATTCATGCCTCGAAATTCCGGCTGCGGGAGACCCTTCGGTATTTTCTTGCTGCTCATGATTTGACATTTTGAGGAATAATGGACTTAGCAATATCAGTATGTGCTTCAAGATTGATCATGGTATGCTCTTGGCTGTAGCTGCCTAATACAGCATGGTCTCGTAACACAGAAACGGTGATGCATATATATACTTGCAGGATGTGACCCATGCTCAACGATTTTCTACGCGGAATCTAGCATTTGTCTGTGTCCGTCTCAAGATGAGTCAGTAATTCCTCGCCGTGCCACTTCACTCCTGTCATAATTTTGACACGATGATCAATATCTCATAATGTGGACACTCTTGCATGCTGCGACCGTCTGAACAGAATGCACCGAGCCGCTTGACCCGCCAGTCCAACATCAATAGTGACGTGGCACAATTTTCAGATATATATTTTAAGCATTCAGAGACGCCATGAGAAGGCCACTCACACACCGCGAACACGTACCTATGCCACTACCGTCATCTCATCTCTGCTATTGATGTTCTGGCTCTCTGCTGGCCCTGACAAGGTATGTGATTGACACGAGTGCCTCAACCTGCTAATTTCAACCATAACGATGGTACGACAGACCATCGTTGAAACAAGGAAGCGGCCCACGACTGCGAGAGCATCCTGTGCACTTATGATAGTATGCTCGAAAACACGACTATGCCGTAGATGATGTGACAAATCATCAACGTCGACGTGCACCATGATCCAAGGAAGAACAGGCAGGACTCTTTCCGAACCGAAAGCCTAAGCCCGCCATGAGGTGCATACTCACGAAGCTGTAGCTCTCTCCATAGCAGCCCCACCATTGTCCCCTTCCCCGAACCTGACCCCGATTCTCTTAGTGAAGCTCGCACAGCAACTTTTGCAACGCCGGCTATGTGGATAGAAACGGCGAGAAATGCCCACAAAACTGGCTGGTAGTCTGTGTCGGGGGAGAAGCTGCACACACTCTTGATGCTTAATTCCCAGCTTGTATGAACCAGATTTGCAGTTGCTGCAGCGGCCAGCAAGTATTCCAGGCATGCCGAGCGCGATACATGCTCTTGTTGTGGATATGGACAAACTGGTACTGTCTGATTTCACCTGCAGGAGGTCGGCTGGGCTGTGGTACTCGAAGGCCCGAATAGGTGAGACCGCCGGAGCGCCAGTTGCTAGCAGGAATACTGATAAAGGCTTGCGAAGGGATAACAAGCCCGTTTCGGCCGTGCTCGAACCTACGAGTCCCAGCGTCGTTGGTAATAAACCAAGCAACACAGCTGCAGCGGCACTGTTTGCCTTGACGGACTCAGGGACGTTATCAAGGAGACAGGTGACAATGTTACCGGAGATACATTCAGCCTGTGCTGATGCATAGCATGAAGGACTGAGTCCGCTCACATAAGTGTCAAAGAGGTCGCTACAGTTACTATCGAGACGCGTTGAAAGATTGGACCAAACTGAGAATACCACTGGTGGAAGTGGGAGTGGACGGAGCCAGGCACATTATGAACGCCAAAGACAAGTGTACAACTTAGAAACAATAGACGATCCATGACTACGCACAGGCCGCGCTGGAAATGCATTGCTGAAATACACCGAACTTTGAACACGCATCGTCTCTTCCACGCCCATGAGGCTGAGATCAAAGGAATGAGCTAGACCGATTTCTCTCAACCGCCCTCAACAAGAACACTGATCCAATGACCATGAAGCTCGCAGGCGGCCCTGGCAATCATGATTGGATGTCTTTCTCATTGCTAAAACAGCGGTCTGGATGCGGGGTGGTTGATTATGGAATCTGAGAACCAGCGCTTAGGCAACGGGAGTAGAAGATGTTGGAGAGTCAATCTGTAGATAGGCAGAAAAAGTACTTCAACCACCCAATCAGGGGAAACGAAAACGAAAACGAGGGGAACGAGCAATTTCCCACCATTTTGGTCGCGCCGCCTTGGCACACATGTCGGGAATCCCTACTGCCACATTCTGATAGATGCCAAGGTACGTTAGACCTTTGAAGTGGATGGTATGCTTTAGCGAGTGCGAACATTGATATAGAAAGTTGATCCTGAGTTACCATAGGCCGTAGCGGTCTGCCGAGTGTGTCTTCCATTCCCGCTAATAGCCCAGAATCGTAATCATTGAAGTATTTATGGCATGTCATCGCTCCTCCATGATAAAAGCCTATTTATCTATTTCACTACGGCTGTCAACGTCACCAAATCCCCCTATGTTGATCCTGCAGTCCTCAGCGCAATGTCCTCATTCAATGAGTATCACTTACCTCCAGGTACCATTGTCTTTGGACCAAAAGGGAATTGTACTTTGGATGTCTGCCCGCTAGAACTAAGCGTCTATGGATATCGACCTTCGTTGGCCGCAAATATCTCATTCATATGTTTATACAGTCTTGCCATGTTCATCCATGCATATCTGGGAGTGAGATGGAAGAGTTGGTGGTTCATGGGATGCATGATTGTAGGTTGTGTCAATGCGATGTTGGGATATGCTGCTCGAGTAGCAATGTTCTACAATCCGTTCAACTTCGCAGCTTTCATGATTCAGATCAGTAAGTATCGAATGTTTTGCGTGAACTCTCCATACTAACAGATGCAGTTTGTATAACTTCTGGGCCGGTCTATTATTGCGCAGCCATTTATGTCACTCTTGCCTTCGCGTAAGATTATGATGTCGTCTTTGTTGTGTCAAGTACCTGACTAACAACAAAATTTCAGAATAAACTATTTCTCTCGCCAGGCCTCTCGATTCGAGCCGAAGCTGTTCTATCAAGTTTTCATACCTAGCGATCTCACATCTCTTATACTTCAAGCCTGTGGAGGTGGGCTTTCGACTGCATCAGCAGGGGAGAGCAAGATCGGCGTCAACATCACTATTGCTGGCCTGGCTTTCCAAGTATTCACTATAGTCGCGTTTACAGTTGCATTTGCCGATTACCTTGTTCGATACTTTCGGTCTTGTTCCAGACAGAAGGAAGCATTTGATATCCGACTGAAGCTTTTCTTTGGCTTCACTGCCCTAGCCATCCTGCTCATTACAGCCCGGTGCGTTTACAGACTCGTTGAGCTCCGACAAGGGTATACGGGCCATGGTTCGTTGGTTCGAGACGAAGGTATATTCATCGGACTCGAGGGAGTGTAAGTTGTGTCGCCAACATCTGTCTTGTATCGCCTTTTTGTGATGAAAGAACTAACCTCTATTGCCTGTAGCATGGTGCTTGCTTCCGTATATTGCCTCATGCTCGGCCATCCAGGACTTGTATTCAAGCATGGTGATAAACGACTGCCATCTTCTGATAATAATGCCGGGAGTGCGGAACAGCGGGGACAGGATGCTTTTGAAATGGGCTCATGAGAACCCTAATCATTTTTTCTATTTTCTTTTCCTGAACTACTTTGACTTTCCTAGGACCGAGCCTATGTAATTAAACGATATCTTGTTTTGTTTCTCCAGCTTATAATACTGCTCTGTATGAATAATTGGAAGTGAACTTCTTAAGTTAGTGTATCCGCTCCAATATTATCTGTGGCAAGCAATTGAAGGGTCTTTGAAACAGGCCTCGTTTCTCGGACTATACCCATTGATTGACCCCCTCGACATTGTTTAGATTCAAGAAAAGAGTGAAGTACTGCATTGAAGAGCTTAGGTTAGCACCCGCGATCCTCAGCACTTGGATGGAGGATATTACCTACATCATCGTCAAAGGTATTCTCTAAGTCACTTGATGAGAAGAAAGAATTGTTCTCAGCCTGTACTCACGTCAGTCCTCTTACTTATCCAAATGGCTAGTTTGAAATGCTTACAGTGTTAGGTTCCATGGTACTGTTACGTTCGTTCTGGTTTATACTCGCCCGGTAAGCTTGGATGCTTCGTCCGATCGACTCCTTCATCGATACGACTGTCATCGCAGCGTCTTCGACACTGGCTCGCGATAGTTCTGCAGACAATTGCATCCAGGCGCATGTTCGCTGGCTGACAATGTCAGGCTTGCAGACAGCGGCGACTGCTTGTGCTGTTCTTTCTACGAGACCAACCAATGTCGATTGTTGGCCGCTGGACTGTGGCAGGGCAATAGATCCCCGACGTTGTCGCTCAACGGCTTGAAATAAGAGTTCGTGACTTATCAGGAAAGTACTATTCGATATTTCGCAGCGGCAAATATTGTTGACGGTAGTAAAATCTCTAGGCTGATGTGACAAAGACAGGGCTTCGGTAAGGACAGTCGTAGCCATGCCCGTACAGACCTGTCTCGAATAAAGATATCTTGGATCATTTAAAGCTCTGGTCACAAAAGGGGAGTGAAGAGCAATAATTGCTCTCCGGATGACGATGTTCAGTAGAACCCTTTTGGCATCATCAGGCTCCGATCGAATGATGCTTGTCGCTTCATCAAGGAATTCTTTGAGTTCAGCGTCAAGTTTGAGTACTTGTTCGTAGTTGGCCGCTAGATTGATGCCGTTGACAAGACGGCAGACTTTCATCCGCAACGAGACCGACTTGGCCAGGCAAGCATACAATGGTGTGGAGGTCATGTGTGCTGATCGTACCGACATGATCTGAGCTTTCGTCATGCTTTCAGTTAGCATGCTATCTTCAATGATCTCCGAAGGATGACAGCAATCATAGTCTTCCTCCCTGATAGACGGTGTACGTCCCTTCGCAAATGATGCCTGAAGGTCAAACTCTATGATAGCATACCATAGCCTTCTTCGAATCTCCGCATAGAAGGGAGATATCCTGGTGAAGTCTGCTGGTTCTCTGTGAAGGCCAGCCGAGATTGCATTGCGCACCAACATGCCGGATGAGATCCAGCTTCGGTCAATTTTGATCCAATGAACGTCACCAGCCACCAACATTAGCAAGTGAGCCTGTAGGTGCCCAAGCGTCATTTGGGATCTGGGGTCTTGTTTAAATAGCCAGATCCTAACGGACTCAATCCATTGCTCAGTAATGCTTGAATTCTCGGATCTGTTGTTGATAAACGCAGACCCTATAGCGCAAATGCTGAGAAGCTGAGCAATGAAATACGGGGGACCATAGCCCGATACCGCCGGATCAGAATCCCAAAGTCGAGCGTAGTCCTTCAGGAAGGTAGGAATGTGAATGACCTTGTATAAAGATTCGAATCTTCTAATGTAGACGTCCACGATGGTGTCAGTCTCTACTCGAGGTGGTAGCATGGCCAGTAATTCTGCATCGTGAGCTCTGATAGGAACGGTCTCCCTAGGTCGAGTGCTCCGCTCGATATGATAGAGTGTTGACACGTTATCTTCATTTTCTGATTGGAGCAGAAGCCTTGCAGCATCTATGATGCGAGGAACAAAGTTTGTCTCGTGACTTCTACCCCAGTAGACGGTTGCGTCATTCTCTCCAAAGATGACCTCCTTTGGAGTTGATATTACCCGCTCGTGAAAAGGTTCGACATATGTATCAACAGACCGGCTGCCGTGCCACAAGAGTTGAAGAGGATCAGCTTTATCTTTCTCCACAAGACGAAGTGTACTGTTAATTTGCCCGGAACTTCGGAAGTTACTATCGGGGGCGTATGTAGATGGGGGCTCTGCTGAAAGCTCTCCTATCTGTGTACTGCTTTGGCGCGTTTGCCTACTTTCCGATTGCGAAATGTCTCGCCCTTCGTCGGAACCTTCAACTGCGAAGACGAACTGTCCCGGAGCAGACTCGTGAGACAGCTCGGTACTAATATCGTAATGGCACTGTCCAGGTATCCTAGCTCTAACGCAGCGGTTGCATGGCTTACCCCTATCACATTTGACTTTCCTGGCACGACACGCGGTGCATGACAGCCAAAGCCTGAACTGTCGCTTACGCTCTGTCCTGACCATGATCGCCGCTACAGAAAAGGAGTATTGCGGACTTTTCCTGGAAGAGGCGTTGAAAGCCGAATTTGTTTGAGTGGGTCAAGTTTTCTCTGCTGATGTAGGAGTATGTAACGCCAGCGAGTCATGTATAGAATGCGAAGTCAACCTTTTACCCACCAAAACAACTGGGGTTGCAAGACCCACTTGATCGCATTTCTTCCTTATTGAGTATAAGTCCGAAATGTACCAGAAGTACTTTCGAGATTTAAATAAACATGAACGCAGCCGATGAATGAGTAGAGATGTGGTGCACTTGTTGACAAACACGAAGGTAATTCTAGCCTACTTAGCGTCAATCACAGTCGGCACGGCTCACGCCAAATCATTACTGTGAAGCGTTCCTAGAAACGGTCCTTGTCAGCTCTTAGCAGTTCAGTATGGACGACAAGGAAGTGCCTGTCAACTCTTCCTTTGCGCCGTCGTCACAAGATGGAAAAGGCGTCGTATCTGACAACTCGTTTAGCGACAATGAACAACAGGGCGAGTTGGACTACCCTGAAGGTGGGCTGCAAGCGTGGCTGGTCGTGTCAGGATCAGCTGCTACCATGTTTTGCACCTTTGGATATCTCACCGGCTTTGGGTACGTAAACAAACTGTGAAAGCAAGCAGAAAAGGGGATTATTGAGCTGACAGAATGTTTACAGTAACTACCAGTCGTGGTATGGTGAGCACCAGCTCAAGAACTACACACAATCCGACATATCCTGGATAGGCTCTGTCCAGATTTTCCTTAACTTCTCAGGTGGTCTGGTCGGTGGACCGATCATGGACCGATATGGAACCATAGCCGTCATTCCGGCGTCAGTGCTCTACGTCGTGTCTCTTGTCCTTACTAGTTTCTGCAAGGAGTATTACCAGTTCTTCCTTGCACAGGCAGTGCTAGGCGGCATCTGTCTTGGTCTTCTGTTCAATACTGCACTTGCTATTATCGGACAATACTTCAACCGACGCCAGGGACTTGCCTCGGGCATCGTGATGGCGGGTGCGTCTTTGGGTGGAGTCATATTCCCGGTTGCGCTGAACCGCTTGCTCAACAATGTCGGCCTCAGCTTTGGCTGGTCCGTCCGAGTCTGCGCACTGATTATTCTGGTCCTTCTGGCATTCGCAAGTCTGACAATGAAAACACGGCTGCCTCCCACACGTCAGCATATGGATTATACTCTGATGAAACGACCAGTGTACATTCTCATAGCGGCAGGAGGGTGGTTTCTCAACTGGGGAATGTATGTCCCGTTGTTTTACCTACCTTCCTTCGCCATTACCGCTGGTCTAGACAGCGAAATGGCTCCATACACCGTTGCAATTTTCAACGCTGTCTCGCTCTTTGGTCGCATCTTCGCAGGAACACTCGCAGACCGGCTCGGCCGTTTCAATGTGGTCGTGTTGAACGGTCTCCTCTGTGCTTTGATGCAATTCGTCTGGCCAGCTACAAATAGTTCGGCTGGAGTTTACTGCGTCTCCATCTTCTCTGGTCTTTTCATCGGCAGCATTGTCAGCTTGCAGGCAGCGATCGTAGGGCAGATAACTCCTGATCCCAAGTATATCGGGTCAATGATGGGCATTACAATGGCAATTTGGGCTTGCGGTGGTCTGACGGGTCCACCGATTGCAGGAGCCATATTGAACGTGAACGGTAGCTTTGATGGCCCAGCATACTTTGCGGGCGCATCACTCGTTCTTGGCTCCGCGCTGTTTCTGTTTGCGAGGCTCTTGACCGACTCGAGGATTTTCGTTAAGATTTAAGCCTTTTTCGGGTTGATCCTGGATTAATTTCATCACTAGATTTGGAGCCCTGAACAGATTGCTACATACAACATCATGATCAGGTATCAAATTATGTCATAAATGGAGGTTATCAGGCATAGAAAGGTGATAGAATGGTTATAGAGCTAGCTTAAGTGACATATGAGCAATCGCAAGGAGCGGATAGAGAGTAACGGACGATGGACATTTCTATTCAAGACACAAGTATGGGGTATCGAGTGCAACGGTAGATATTAGAACACTTTTGAAGATTCCGAGATAATGTTCTACAATACAGGAATATGTTGGAAATCATACTCGTTCTCCCTGACGCTTCACAGCCAGAGAAAATGAAACTCCATATGATATCTTTCACAGCTTGCCATTCTACCCCTATTCTTTCATTAGGCACATCTTACTCCACTTCTGATATTCACCGATTTTCCGTCACTTTAGCTCCGACTTTCTGGCTAATCGCAAAATTTTGAGCTATCCAGTTTGTCTATCTTTAGCCGACGGCTCATCCGTCCCATTGCGTAGGGCTGGCTTTCCTTCCACACGCTGACGAGAGTCTCCGGGTTGTCCCAATTTTACACTAGCAAATGTTTGGGAAGCATCGCTAAGTCTCTTTTCCTTGTCTTGATGTGGTTCTTTCCGGAAATAAGGCAGTAAACTTAACCAAGGCAACCAAGCGACCAAATATCGGCCGAACCGCGAACGATGTCTCTCGAGTTCGTCAATTTCATTGGGATCATGACTCGTCGTCGTCGATGCACGTGCCATAGCCGGAGAGAAAGCAAGCAATATTTCCCGACCTGGATGCATTGTTCTTGCCGGCAGTGGCGTAGTGGGTGCTGAAACTGACGGGTCAATGTCTTCGGGTGACCGCCATGATTCAAGAAGTAGATAGCAAGTTCGCACAAACCCGAACGCGCCAATAAGCAACGGTAGCAACTGAGCTGGGAGGTGCAATTCATTGTCGTGTGGACCGCCAAGTACTGCTGCCACATGGTTAAAATTCAGGGTGAACTCAACGAGGAATATCGAGAAAATGATCCAGGCTAGATTCAGCCACCTCAAATACTTGAAGATGGCCTCGAGTCTACATAGAGACACAACACATGTTAGTTTACTCTCTGGTGGCATATGCTGTCGTTATGTTTTTGGGCTCTCACTCTTTATACTTGAAGCCTGTTGCAAATCGCAGTCTTGTTGTGTCCGCCCAACGCTTTGCCTTGCTCAGTTCGATCATCTTCTGCAATCTCGCCCAACCAGCTATGCTTGAGGCGAGCAACATGATGCCGAAATAGAGAATGCAACACACGCACACCAGAATGTAGAAGATACGAATTCCTCCATCAGCGCGCACTTTAGCGAACATGAACGTGTAAAGTTCCCTACACTCTGGAGGATTAGGAGTATCGACAGGATTAGTCTCCTGCTCTCTTGCGGTGCCCATGTCGAGAAGATCACTATTGTGAACACCAAACAACCAGTACCAGAGACCATAGCAGCTAATGGCAAGAGATACAATCAAGCGGGAGTGTGTACCGAAGCCACCGAAAAATCGAATAGCCTTCGGGCCGTTATCAACGTATTGTCGAGTTCGGTAACCCCACAAACTTAGGATGCCGAAGATGGTGCCACCACTTAGGTGCATCAAGATAAGACCATCTATCTTCTCGAGCATTGCAATACTGCTGCACTTGATCATGGCGATGAGTATGACGAGTAGGAATATTGTGTTGGTGTCGGCTGCTCCCGCGATTTCGCTCGGTAAAAGAGTATTGGCGATGTATGCCTGGAACCACGCAAAGTATATTCCCAAGCGTACGCCAAAGCCATAGTAGTCGGGAGCCCGGGCAGTTTCACATTGTGGTAAAGTATCGCGGGGCAATAAACCAGGAAAATAGTCTAGTTGGAGGTTTGACATATTGACTAGTTGCACCGGCAACGAAAGAGGCACACACGATGCTCTTCAGTTGTAAGGCCAGCACGATTATTCACATTCGCAGACAGAAAATTCTATACCGACGGAGTATGAGCAGATCCAGATATTTAGTCACAACTCCCGGACTTCGGACAACCGTACATGACAAGGCCACGATTTCAACCTAGGATGTTGTGTCACTCCATTTGGAGTGAAGTGACGTTAAGGTGCAGTCTGACCTAGTTTGTAGGAATCCTTCAAGCCGCATGTTATCATCAACTCCGGCAGGGATAGGCGGCGCGGTAGAGAGGAGTGCCTCTCGAGGTGGTGCGAAGAGAGGCATTGAAGCGCCTTGAGGCGTTCTGCCTCTCACAATGGGGAAGCCAATTGGCCCCCAATTCCAGCGATCCGGGACAAGCGTCGAAATGGCATGTCAAATGACGTATGAATTTTCAGCCGTACTCCTAACCCATGCAAAGTAGTTTCTAGCAGCGGATCTCGTCCCGAGGTGCCCTTTATTCAATGAATAATGAAGCTGTGACACGACATTTTTCAGATCACGGCATTCTCCAGCCATGTGTGAAACCGGCGCCCTCTTAGACGCTCTGTTTCAAGAGTCAGGAGCCCCTATCGGTCCTTGAGTATTGCTGTATCGATAAATTAGATGTTAATGAGCTCTCGAAAGCGATTTATTCTATGTTTCGCTGGTATCATGATGCCTATATATGTTACCTGTACTGTGCTTGTCGGATATCCTAGCTACTATGTCTAGGAATAGCCAGCAGTCCGCGTGGGAATTAGATTAGCTGGCATCCACTAATTATTAAGAACAAGCTATCAAAATTTTACTATCATAGGTCAGCTTCTTAGCTGTCATTTCTTAAGTATGTGCCAGCCCCAGGCTCACTGATTAATTGATAAGTCGAATTGTCGAGCTTCTAGACTCTCTAGCCAGGACGTCACATCGGCCGCCCCATTCCGCCGCGCCGCGTCAAGGGGCGTGAGTTGCTCCCACGGCGGGACGAAGTCGATGGCCCCTCCCTGCAAATGAAGATACTGCGCCATCTTAAGCTGGCCCCCATGGCACGCATTCCATAACGCGCGGTCGATGTCCTCCTGTGACGGTCGGTTTGCCGGTGACTTGAAGACTGCTTCCACGCGGTCCTGCAAGCCGAGGGTTGCGGCGTCTTGCAGAGTGACCCGCGCGCCACGCTCAACCAGCCTGTGCGCCGTCTTGAGCTGTAGGAACGCTCGTGCATCCGCCAGAGGCGTCTCAGCAATGACGCCGCCCGAAGCATCTATGTCCGCCCCAGCGTCCAACAGGACATCAAGAAGAGCCACGTCGTCGTTGCTGGCGGCCCAGTGAAGAGGAGTTTCGGAGTGGGCATCGCCGACAAAGGGAGCCATCACGTCCGCACCAGCGGCGATGAGTGCTCGAGCTGCGTCAGGTCCAGCAGCTAAATTGCCCGGCCAGTCCGCTAGAATATGGAGCAGCGTGCGAGCCTCAGATGACGTGCCGATGTAGGCGGTTGCAAGTGCCGGATCGCCTGAGAGACAGGCCGTGAGAGCATCGATATCGCCGGTACGGATGGCAGCAATGGCAGGCGCCACTCTCTTGTCCTCCTTGTCGATGAATATGCCAGCGTCCGTCATACTAACGATTCTTCTCATTGATATGTATATCTCGATGCGGTATGTAGAACGTCAAGAACTGCGTGAACTGTGTGGTCTATACACCATTTGTTCCTACCAAGGCTGGAGGTGGGTGTGTACGGTACTATGGAAAGTGATATTCAAGTACTGTGGAGCTACCCGCTTACTTGCCGGTACGTACCTACATCTACTTGTTACGCCACTCTGTCGGCCACAAATCCTGTACGTTACCGCCACTGATGGATGATAAGCCATTTTATAAGTACTCTCTTGTACTATCCGGTCCGTGCTGTAAATGCTCAAAATAGTGGAAGAGGACGCCATTTCACTCTTTGCTGTATTAGATGCATCGTATAACTCGTATTTATTCACATGGCGAATACGATATCTTGGAGGGGTGAGTGAACTAGAAGCTTTGACATCCTTCGCAGGCACAATATCTAAGAATGGGCATGGCATCTTTCAGCCTTGTTATCCATTTCTAATATTCTTTACTCGCCACACAACACACACAGAGGTTGCAGTGATATAATTAAGTGTTATCCCCAAATTGAGAATCCAATACAACTATGATTAAATGCAGTTCACTCGTAATCTCCAAATCATTGGAGATTTGCTCGTAAGAACCGTCCTCAAAACTGTATTTGCTCGTCGAAATTTGAGTTTGGCAAGGCGGCTGGCTCTGAGGCCAAGTAAATGTCCTCATACGCCGTCGCATTAATTAATCTCAGTCTCACTTAATCACCAAGCCAGCTCAATGCACAGCTTCGCACAAATGTGTTATTAGGACCCAGAGGTATTGCATCAGGGGCCAAACAGCATATAGAGACTAGCCGCCTTATTCCTCTTAAATGATTCAGGGGTACATGAGTTATCTCCTATGCCTCTTCTCAAGTCCCTGAATTAGGGTTTTCAAAGCTTCTTCGTCTTTGGTCCTACATCTCTCATACTCGGCCAGACCGGAATCCGAGTCTCTCATCAGCTTTGAGCCAAAGTCCCTCTCCAGCCATGGGCTAGGGCCAATTCCGATGTTGAATTGAAGGTACTGTAGTATGTGTTGACGATCCTGCCTCAAACCAGAAGTGCGAGACTTAAAACGGGAATCAGATTCATCAGGTGCCGGGGGAGACGGTGAGTCGTAGTTCAAGAAGACGGTGTCTTTCATTCGGTGAGAAATTCTCTCTTGGTCAGCCGGTGATAGCATATTCAGGGGCTCCTCGTCTGGATTACCGTCAATGTCCGCGGCTTCTCCTCTCCAGTCACCACTGCCCATCTTGAACACCTTGAGACCATGCATTTCTTTTCTCCAGGTTTCGAGCATGTGATGCCAGCGTAGGTCATATTCTTTTACACCAGGCTCGTCAAGTTGTGGGGTCGGATTATCTCTGTTCATAATCTCTTTGAGGGGATAACCCTCGTTGCATATTTCAATAGTATTTCCATCAACGTCTGTGCCTAGAATAGTTTTCGACTCGTCGAAAGGCTCGTAGTTGCGTGCCTGCCACATGATGGGGCAATCATCCAAGTATAGCTCTTCCAGGCCTCCACGGCCATTACACCGACCTAGAGAGGCGATCCAGTCGACCTGCCACTCGTGACTGAATATATAATTTCCCAGAGCAAGTACTCGCAGGTTTGGAAATCCGGATTGTTTTCCAGCTAGTGGATTGACAACACGAAAGTCCATCTTAGGATTCCAGCCCCAGTAGTCTACACTGTACAAGGATAAGACTCGCAAGTCTTGAGCGATTGAAGGCGAAAGCCATGTTTGCGGCAAGCTCTCAAAGAAGTCATATTGTTCAGGAAGCCATACTGCATCCTCGGGTGCATAATCAACTAATTCAACCGTAACCAGGACCTTGAGCTCTCTGAGCGAAGGAAGAGCCATGACTGTCATGAACGCTTCAGAGGATGTCAGCCGACGGTCATCATAGTCTGCCAGGTTGGAGATTGTCAAAGACGTGAGCTGCATTGGCGTTGTCGGAAACATGTCGTTGGCGTCAAGATAGCCTAGAAATGTGTCTTGTACGTCCTCATCGCTGACATCGTCCTCCAAATCGTGCTCTTCCAGCCACTCTCTCTGATATGACTCGGTCCACGTTCCGGCAACACAACGAAAGACGGCATCCAAGATACAGAAACGGAAGTCATATGTTTCTTCAAAAGAGATGCCACCCCAGTCATCTCCATCCTCGTTGCCACAATACTCGTTAAACCTGACATTGAGTTTCATAAGATTGCGGAAGGATCGAAGATGAGGAAGAGCACGGAGGAAAGCTTTTGGCTCTTCATAATTGAGATTGGCGTGGTAATTAAACTCCGGGCCAACCCATGTGTCCAAAGTGATTTCACGGACTAGATTTCGAAGCCCCTCGTTGAAAGCAAGCTTGATAAAGCCAACGGGAGCTGCTCGGCAAGCCTCCAAGCGGACATGACGGAAAGCGAGGACAGTGGCAAGACCGCCCACTGATTTGTTGAGGAGGCGACAATCAAGGACTGTTCTCTGGGGGAGAAACGAAAAGACGTGCTGGTAGAGATCCGCAGAGAACGGGACCATTTTGGCCGGGCACGACGAATTCAATGATGCCGCAAGATGCATACAATGTCGTTGGGCCGTTGAAGACTACTGCGATACAGCTAATATCAACAGAAAAGGGAACTTCTCTTTCCCATATGGCCGTGTCAATGGCGCTTTGAATGTTGCCTGTTGATTGAGTGCCTAGGGGTTGTTCGGATTAGCGCTCGCATTGTAGCCTGGTCGATTCCCTCCCGCCTTGCGCTAAGCGATTGCCTGATTGTCGGTACCTGACAGGGCTTCGCTTGGCAATCTGCAGGGGTCCAGCGCTGTCTTCGACCCCTTGCTAGCCATAACGCTCGCTAATAAGGTGTCTAAGGGATGTTGTAACAACACCACTCGCAAGGAACTTATTCCCAAATTCCCAAAGCATTAACAGTCTGACCTTTCACATTAGGTAATTGATGAGTTGAGATATAAGGGCAGTTTTATTATTTACAAGCAACATTATCGACCTCCGAGCCCGGCAGCAACTCTTCCTAAGTCTGTGGTTTATCCTAATAGCGCGGAAGTCTGCGAATATGCTTCTCAGCTCAGAGAATCTTTGGCACAGGTACAGCCTTCTCAACATCTGATGCAGCAACACCAGTGTCATCTCTACTACTACTGTCCGCTTGTTGTATCATATCCGCATATTCCTCTAGCACGAATGGCGAAGTACCCCGTTGGCGCTCTGCTGGGAAGATCGTGTGAAGCACGGCGTATGTTGACAAGGATGCCATGAAGCCGTAGAAGTACGAGATTTGGTAAATGTGATCCCACCCATTATTGTCCGAAACGCCTTGTATAGCTCGAGCAAATCCAGCTTTGAACCCGGACTCATTAGTATACGGTTCCACGAATCAGGCAAGAGAGGATCAAAGAATTTCTTACGGAGCAATGGTGCCATTCCTACGATCCATGCTAAGAAGCCTCTGAAATTGAACCCCCATTTATACCAATACGCACTCCGACTGTTTCCGAGGTACATATCACCGACGTGATACTCGCCTCGACGTACGAGGAAATAATCCGAGATAACGATACCGGTCATGGGACTGAGAAAGACACTCCATCCGCTCAAGACGGTAATGAAGGTTCCCGGGTTTCTTTGAAGATAAACATCAGCTCTTGTGGAGTTAGTCTTGAAGTGAGCAGTACTAACGTAACATAATTCCAAGGACATATAGCAATCGCAATGACTGTGAGAATGTAACAGCCGCGCCTGATATTAATCCATCTTCATGCCGTCAGTGATCTGCTGTGGTGACGAGCATATGCAGGTACAACTCACTTCGGGCAAAGAGCTGCCATATCCATTCCGGTGCTAATGCCGTTGAGCATCTGGCACAGCGCAAGCTGGTCTGTAAGAAATCCAAGGCCAGCGAAGAAGGTCCCAGCTCGTGCGGCTGGGGACATCGAGTGTTCCTGGACTGTCAAAAGCAGCTCGAAGGGATTCCATATATACTCCCCGTAAATTGTGGCCGCTGCAGACGTTATCAGAATACCACACACCGATGTCACAACGATAAAGATCGGCGCAGTAACTAGCTGTCCAAAGAGTGCTGCATTAGGAGTGCGTGCATATCGGGTCCAGTCCGATTGTCCGAGGCAGCCGGAGGCTTGAGCGCCGACAATCGATTGCAAGCCGTATAGTGCGCTCCAGCTGAGAGCTGATCCAGACTTCGTTGCTGGAGTATGCATCAAAACACCAGGGCCACCGGCTGCATGCACAGCCCACCCGAGCATACCAAACATCGTAGCCGTGATCATGACAAAAGTGATCTTGAATGGAAACTGGAGCTTCTCAGGAGGTATCATCGGCAGTGGAAGAAAGATGATGATGAAAACAAAGAAGCTGATGATGCTCGATGTATCTGTGTTTGCAGAAGCCGGCAAGGTGTTCCTGAGGTTGACGAAGGCAGGGCCTATAATAGCTCGTAACATGATTTTCACGGCTTGGCCTCCCCAATAAGCCTACGGAGAAGACAACTGTTAACATCCCTTTGAGGAACCTACTGGCTTCAAGCTTACCTGAATCCCCATCCACACGCAAGCCGTCATGATTCTGTTCAACACTGGCCAAAATCCTCCCCGCATTCCCCAAGATGCTCGACACATGACCGTGAAACCTAGATATAGATGGCTTCCCGGCCAGCCGGCGAGCACAGCAATAAGTGCCGAGATAATGGCGACTCCGACGACACAGCCTATTGATTGTGATGCGCTAAGGCCCAAGGAAAGCAAGGACGAGCCGGCGGTCCAGGCTGTTGTGTTGATCCTGAGCGCCCAAGGTCAGTGCATCTTGACATTCTCTATGACGGGGAAGAGACTCTACCCGCAAATAACCCAATATCCCGCGAAACCCTGCCATGTCCACGTCCGCCGGTCCGGTGGGATGGGGATGAGATCCCGGTTACACCAAAAAGTATTCCTGTAATTCGCATTTTCGTCAACTGGGCATTCCAGTCTCTTCGCCCAGTATGCAACCCTTCCTTTGGTCTTGGCCTCCATGGTCGATCAAACTTCGCGAGAAGGAGGCCGGTGATGGTTGCCTCGATGGAAATTGCAGGGTGGGCTGGTGATAAATGCCTTCATGTTACATGTGCTTGATAAGTAATGCTCTGGATAGACTTCTAGCGTCAACCCAAGATTCCAGAGATCGGCAGAGCTATTGCTCGGCGATAGCTCACGGCATTCCATTTTGACCAATGACGTGATGTTGTTCAACGGGGACCGTTGAACGGTAGATAAGCTGCGGGCCCGGCTGATGGAGGGATGATATTACTCGGAGGATGCCGATGGGCTCCCGAGATACGACTACAGTCTTGAGAATCGATACGTGGGGTTTTGCTTTCGTAAGACATATGTCGGCCACCCGATCCCCGCACACATCGATGAGCGACCACGACAGTCCATGACAATCCGCACGCTTACCTGTTACACATCATATGCGGGTGGCGCCTGCTCTATGCAGCCAACAATCACTGCTGGCAACGAACAGCTCTAATCTTCAGAATTGCATCACCCTTTTCAAAGGCTCACCAGCGAGCTCTTAAAGTATGTCGTCTAGTAGCGCGATTCCAGTCATCGACTTTGGTAAATGGGAGAGTGGGGGCGAGGGCAGGATACAGATCGCAAAGACACTCGCTGAAGCTTGTCGCCGTGTTGGATTCGTGTATGTTGTAAATCATGGTGTCGATGACGAGTTGCTAGACGAGGCATTTGCGTGGTCAAAGAAGCTGTTCGATCTACCCGAAGAGAAGAAGATGTTGGCCCCTCACCCACCTGGTATGCTGCACAATTCGCGAACGTCGAGCACTGTACTCATTGATTTCTCTTCTGCTAGGCCCCAGTGTTCACAGAGGTTATTCTTGGCCCGGGCTTGAGAAGGTGTCTCAGTATATACACAAAGAAGGTGAGGATTCGGACGCTGAGGATGAGCAGCTCCGCCAGATCCAAGACTATAAGGTAAGGTGATGATAGCTCACGGCCTCATTACCTGCATCTAGCAGTCTTCCTGGCTAACAATAGCCTAGGAAAGCTATGAGATTGGCAGCGAAGACAACTCAGATCAACCCAACGTCTGGCTTCCCGAAGAGGTGCTTCCAGGCTTTCGCGAATTCATGACGAGGTTCTATTGGCAGTGCTTCTCTACTGCTAAGGAGCTTCTGCGGGCTGTTGCCATCGGGATCGGGCTTGAGGACCAGGACTTCTTGCTCCGGTTTCATAGCGGCGAGAATAACCAGTTGCGCCTACTTCACTATCCACCCGTGGAAACCGAAAAGCTGTCAAGTAACGCCATGGCCCGTATGCCTGCGCATTCCGACTGGGGTTCTATTACCATGCTGTTTCAAGACGATTGTGGTGGCTTACAGGTAGAGGACCCCAACACCCCAGGAAGCTTTGTGAATGCTACACCTATGAGGCGAGCATTAGTAATGAACGTTGGAGACTTGTTAATGCGTTGGAGTAATGGTGAGTGTCGATCCTTTCTCGACCGGAGTTCCACCATCACACACTTCAACTCACGCTTTTCTTGCTAGACTATCTCAAATCAACGCTTCACCGTGTCACTCTGCCACCAGTGCAGAGTGAGCAGCCCCTTGGCGGTAAAGCGATGACTCGCGCGAGATACTCGATTCCGTATTTTGTCAGCCCTGATGCGAAGGCCGTCATCGAGTGCCTTCCAGCCTGTGCCGATTTGAAGAATCCAGCGAAGTACCCTCCAGTCATACAGGAGGACTATAGACGCATGAGGGCAAAATTACAATACTCAGACAAGCCGGCCACGCCAATATCAGTAGCCTAAGCTGAAGGTCTATTGTGGTGGAGATCAAAGCTCAGCTCCTTTACGAATCAAGGTGAATTAAAACAATCATTGACTGAACAAGCCTATCTATATTTGAGAGAATCTTTCAAGCAGAAGCCACCGAGCTCAGGTTAATCAAATGAATGAGTCTTACCAATGTGATGGGTACATTTACTCGGCGCCATACTATTGTCAAAAGTCACCTGGTTGCATTTGGTCCGCAAGACGGTGTCCATCGCAATCACAGGGACAAGCTGGATAACGCTGCAGCAAATGAGCGAAAGCAGTCAAAATGCTGTTGGCTGTTGCAGGATTAGCAGCAGCCCACGCGACCCGATTCTCATTTTCACAAATATCTTCGAAATTGAGTCTAATGGGATGCGTGACGCTTATCAAACCTGATTTGCACTGTTTGGTGACTTGATCATACTCTCCACAAGGCTCGAGGATTTTCTGAATTGTCTGTGAAGCGTCACGCTGTCCGGCATATTGTGGAATTCGCTTGTGAGGTGGGCGGTTACAGTGTTTGCAGACGGCAACGTACATAGTTCTAAGACACATCTGTATCATTTGAGCATTTTCATCAGTAGTGCATCGTTCTTTCTATGTTCTGTACCATTAGAGAAGTGAAGTTCACCTTAAGCGGTTAATGTGATATATAGCGTTGAGGCGTGATATACTTGTCACAATC